AGGCTGAGGCAGGAGGATGGCTTGAGCCCAGGAGTTTGAGGTTGCTGTGAGCTAGGCTGACGCCACGGCACTCACTCTAGCCCGGGCAAAAGAGCGAGACCCTGTTTCAAAAAAAAAAAAAAAACTTACTTAAAAACTGGAGGTGGGCATGGCAAAGGCCTAAGTTCTAGGACCAGTTTATATCTTAAATAAATGTTATTGAAAATAATTGCAATAATAATATTAAAGAAAATTTGAACTGAAGAAAAGAATCCCTCACAATTACACATCCCATTTTCCTTTTTGCCTTGACTCACCCCCTTTCCATTATTGTATCCCCATGCCATTTGCTTTATTTAATCAGGTGTTCATGGGCAAACGGCAGAGCATTCTTTACCTGTCCATCTATTCAAGTTGTATTGATCAAAGCTCTACTTCCTTCTGGAAGATGACGTGTAACACATGATGTTTATGACACATGGCTGGAAGAGAGGACATTCCCAGCTGCTTGGATTGAATGGTAGAGGTTTAATAATCTCAAACAGAAATAAAGTGAGCATCTTGCTCAGGTTAGAAAAACTCAAAAGTCCTGTCATCATGTGAGACTGTCCTTTTCTGGAGATTTCAGTCTTTTCACTGTGAATTTTTAACCACTGCTATCATTAATCAAGACAAGCACTTAGCTTGTCATCAGGTTACCTAATTTAGCACATTCACAGCTTTGCTGTGTATAAAAACAATTACTGTAATCTACAAATAACCCTGCCTTGTATGCCATCTGTTGTATAACTTCCAAATGATTTGAGGAAAACCTCACGTGGTATCAGATGAAAGAAGGAACAGAAAAGGAAAAATAAGGAAATCCTTATTACTTATTTTAACTTGAGACTTTTCAGTTTTGTTTGAGGCATGATGAGACATCTTTTTAGGACTTTTTAAAAAAAATTTTTTTGGTGACAGGGTCTCACTCTGTCACCCAGCCTGATCATAGCTAACTGTAGCCTCCAACTCCTGGGCTCAAGCGATCCTCCCACCTCAGCCTCCCAAGTACCACCACATTAGCTAATTTTTCTTACTTTTTATAGTGATGGGGTCTCGCTGTGTTGCCCAGGCTAGTCTCAAACTCCTGGGCTTAAGTGATACTTCTGCCTTGGCCTCTCAAAGTGCTGGGATTATAGGAATGAGCTACCATACCTATCCCTTTTTAGAACTATTACAATAAAGACCTTTATTATATTTTACACATCTAAGTACTCAATTATTTGTTTATGCCCTAAAATAATTAGAGTTTCTAATCTTCCTAAAATCATTGTATTTCTTATGAATCTTGGGAGGCACCTTCTCAAAATAAATGTTATATTCAAATAAAATTGTCCCACTAGATCCTAATCCATAAAGATTAATAGTTAACACCAGTTGTATTTAAATCTCAACCATCTGAAACAGTTGTTTTGTCTGTTTTGCTGGAGGCTTCTTTGGGTCAGAAATTTAAATCTTCAGAGAATTTTCTTAAGATGAGTTAAAATATCACACATCCCTCTCTCCCAAGTAGAAACTATATAATAAAAAACAATTATGTCTTATTTAGCAAATGAAAAAAGAAAGAAACTGCCCTACCCTGTAGGTCAGTATTTCTCAAAGTGGGGTTTGAGGAGCAGCAGCAACATGACCTGAGAACTTGTTAAAAATAAAAATTCTCAGGCCCAACCCAGACCTACAGAATTAAAGGCTCTGAGAATGGGATCTTGTAATCTGTGTTTTAACAAGATCCTCCAAGTGATTCTGATGCATGCTTAATTAAGTTTGAGAGCCCCTGATGTAGGATAATGCTGAGCGTATATAGATGTTTCTCACCAATTGACATGTCTTTAGAAACACAAAGTGATCTTAGTGAGTTCACCTGTTAGGCTCTGAGACGTCTCTCCTAAATGACTATAAATTTTGTAATGCACTGCTTTTCATATCTAAAGTTGTTTTATTCCACAGGCATCATGTTGTGAACAGAAGTTTCTAGTACAACCTAAATGTTCCCATGCTTTTCTAGTTATGTCGACAAATAGAAGGTCACCAGAACATTGATACGAGCATTTTACTGATTTATTTGCTTCTCTCTGCAAACTTTAGGATGCCCTCCTCAGGGCATGGTTAATTACAATGGATCTGCGATAAAGCCTCACATGGCCCCTTTCTATCTCTATCTCCAAACTAGGGTGGCCTCAGTCAAAATTTTCGGATGACTTGGCTTTGCTCTATGTGTTCTTCGTCTCCAGCAGGCTAGTTGGAGCATGTTTACCAGTTCAAGCACTTTCCCAGCTTTTCTTGTGTCACATTTTCTAATATCATATTAGCCGAAATAAGTCAGAAGGCTGACCTCAGAGTCCGGGTGGGAGGGCATGGAGAAGGGTGTGAACACAGGGAGGGGTGGAGAATCGGGACTATTTTTGCAAACTACCATGACATACTTAATTTTTTAATTTGTTGACTAATAATTCATTCAAGGGACTCAGATATCCTTGGCCTACATTAGTTATGTTACCTGCTTTGACTTGGCTTTCTTCTAGGAGAAAACAAAAGCTAGTATTTATGTTTTGTTTTGTTTTGTTTTTTAAACCTGCCTTTGACAAAACACCAATAATGATGATGGTGTTGCCTGATTTTTTATTAAATATTTTAAATCAACTATTAATTCTTACCTGTAAAAAAAAGTACCAGTGCTATCAGAGATCCCTTAAGAATGCTCCCAGACCACCAGTGTCATCCCCAGAGCACACCCCCGATTAAAATAAATATCTTTTGTCAATTTGAATGTGTTTTCACACAGATGAACCTTTGTTTTATGTGCTCCCATCAAATATGAAATCTCCTGTTAAATATTATTAAACATTAATGGGACTGCACAAAACAAAGATTATAAAAGCTGACGCCAGACTGGTGTCATTCTTCAAAGTAATTTCTTAAAAGCATCATAAAATGGAACGAATATAAATAATAATGATTAAAGTCATAGCATTCGCATTCTATTTGTATCCACGAAATTAGCAAGGCCTTCAGGCTTTTCTCTGTTGTCTTTATCTACAGTTTATGCTCTTTTCTTACATGTTCTTATGTTTCATTTATGCTTTCATCTGATCCCTTTGTGTTGATCAGGACGGTAAAAGTAGTTTCCATAGTGATATCTGACATTTAGAGATTAGTGAGAAGAACCGTCAGGGACAGGAGAAGGTGTGGTCTGTTGAGGATGCAGCACAATAATGTTGTGTAGCCCTGCAGTTGTTCTCGGCTACCTCACAAACAGCTTTTTAAGTGAAATTTAACTTATTTTGTCAGAAGATTGACTGATAATACCAGATGTCAATGAGCTTTTAAAAATTAAACCTCAAATCAAAATAATGTTCATTTGGCTTGGAAGAACAAGTTTTAAATTCGCCAAAGTTTTACATGAAGCCATGCAAAAATCTGGGTCCCTTCTATTCTGTTTTGTTTGTTTTAGTATAACTTGCATCCCAACAAACTTAATCATCAGCAAAGTGTGTGCAAACCGGCATTCACATTTATTCTTGTCTCAACCGCAGCTGCAATACATCTTGCATCCTGCACTCTCAAGGCCCTCACAGAATAGCAGAGTATTAACTGTACATTTAAATGACTATGCCCCTAAAATGGGGGTAGGAGGAGCCCAGATCTAAACCTTCTTTCCCAAATCTGAATGCTTTCCACTTTCATCAAATAAATATATATGTTTCTTGGAGATGTCTACTTTTATTTATAGAAACACACACGAAACTGGAAGGTTATTTGACGTTGGGAGGCGGAAAACCAAAGGTCAAAAAGGGAAGAAAGGAAAAACGTCCCTTGCAAACCCCGGCCCGCAGATCACTGGGGGCTGGGGCAAGGTCCTCAGAGCCAGGGGGGGGCGCTGGACGAGTCCCCGCAATCCCGCGCCCTGCGCCGCAGCCTCCGGACTGTAGGGGGCGCGGTGGTGTCGCGGGGCCGGGCCGGGAGCGCTCGGCCGCTCTCCCCCGAGGCGGCGGCGAGGCGGAGCCGTAGCGGGCACGGAGAGGAGGTGACCCCGCAGAAGGTGAGCTGCGGCGGGGGTGCCAGGTGGAGGGGCGCCGGCCTCAGTCCCATGCGCCGCAAACCTTTGCCATTCCGTGGACGCCCTGAACCCCCAGCCCAAGCCTTGGGGCTTTCTGGCCCTGTAGAGCCCATTTCCCGGACCCTCACGTTCAGGCGCCTGACACGAGTCTGTGTCTTATCCGTGGACACCCCCACCCCAGGAACCCTCCCATTTCTTCCACCGTTTCTTGGTGTCCCAGCTCAGTAGACCCTCATATTCAGGGAAATATGGTTTTGTAGCTTTTACGAGGTGGCCCTTTTGTCTCTGTGCGGACAGTCTTTTCAACCTTTTCAACCCTGTAACGTAATGTCCGGAACTTAATTGAATGCAGTTTTTTCTGGAGGCTTCCAGTGCAATTTGTCTTTGAGTAAGCCCTCGGTAGCCAACGGCAGTGTATGTACCACAGCACTGGGGGAGGCCAGATAAGACTCAGGTTGTCAGCCCGCAGATTGTCTGCAACAGCCATTGACAAAGCCTTTCTCCGTTCTTCAGGTACAGTAAATTCAAGAGATGGAAAGAAACTTTTTAAAAAGTGTATTTTACATTAAAAACAAATAGAATTAATTTTTGAAACTTAAGTGATCACAATTTTGTTTCTTAAATCTTGTAATAACTTACAAATGCAAAGGCCTTTTATCGGTTTAGGAGTAAGATGGGGTGAGGTTGTGAAATAGGGGTGGGCTGCAAATTGGGAGACCTAGGTTATCCCACCCCCCCCTCCTGGCAAAGACAGTCTCTTTAGGTCTAGATTCCTCTTTGTGGGACGAGGACGACAATAGCTACCACTCATTGAATATCTGCTGTATCCTTGAAAAATGTCACCTCATTTAATCCACACTTAGGTATAAATAGCAAAGTTGGAATTTGAGACTGCTGTATTCTCTCAAGCCATGGAGTCCTCTGATTATCTCAAACTTGTTTATACTAAATTATTTTTGAGGTGTTCTGCCTCAGACTTCAGGTTAGTTTCTTAAGTATTAAGATCGTGTGGTATGTGAAACTAAGTGTATTTACACTTATTAAAATATTTTGTCCATTTTATAATTCCCTGAGTCTTTTAAAGGGAAGGCTTTGATTATTGCAGGGTTCCTGCTCATTAACATTTTATAATACAATTCTGATAATTTGATTTGTCTTCTGTTGAGGTGCTTATTTCTAAAATGTGTATTTGAAGATGAAGTTTTTTCTGCAAAGTAATTCTTTTTTTTTTTTTGAGACAGAGTCTCACTGTGTTGCCCGGGCTAGAGTGCCGTGGCATCATCCTAGCTCACAGCAACCTCAGACTCCTGGGCTCAAGAGATCCTACTGCCTCAGCCTCCCGAGTAGCTGGGACTACAGGCATGCACCACCATGCCCGGCTAATTTTTTCTATGTATTTTTAGTTGTCCAATTAATTTCTTTCTAATTTTAGTAGAGACGGGGTCTCGCTATTGCTCAGGCTGGTTTCGAACTCCTGAGCTCAAACAATCCTCCCGCCTCGGCCTCCCAGAGAGCTAGGATTACAGGCGTGAGCCACCGTGCCCGGCCTCGCAAAGTAATTCTTATATTCCTTATATCTTGGTCTAATTTTCATGTAACATAGATAGTCATACCAATTTTATGCCAGTGAATTGTTTAATGTCAGTAGCCAAATATTAATACATTCTGGATTATCCCCCTTAAGCAAGATTTTTACTAAAGGAGAGAAAATCATTCAAAAATGACTGATTCTGACTCTCTGTGTAGGATCATCTTTACAGCCCCTCACATTGTGTGTGATTAATTTCAGGGGTGGACATTCTCATGCTTTGAGATACAAATGACATCCATGGAGTTGTGTAAAGGGACAGTCCTTTATCTTTCCTTCCGTTTTCCATTGCATATTTCCTTCACATGAGGATAGACAGAAGAAAAAGGTAAAGGGTATTTTATCAGGGAGGCACAAATGAGGTAAATGCAGCTTAGTTTAGCTCCTTTTTATAGGCAGGTAGGAAACGTTCTACTCTCCTCTATTTAAACAGAACCCAGAAGATAAACAACAGTTTCTTAATCATGAGTAGTTAAGGGAACAAGAAGTGGGTAATGGAAAAATGAGGAAATATTAAGAGTAGGGCCACCTGGACAGATTGCACAGCCAGGAGTGCCTGATTTATTATTTTGCAAGTAGGCCTGGGGCACACTTATTAATCACAAAATTACTTAGCCAGGAGCAGTACAATTCCCTGCCAGTATGTGTTTTGTGTGATTCCCCTTTTAACACATTAAAAAGGAGGTTATAATTCAGCTTAAAAATAAGCAGATCTTCAAAGTGAGTGTAACTATGGAGAATGGTCAGTATCATATGTAAATAAATGAGTGCCTGTTACCTGCAGTGGGAGTGGGGGAGAAGTAAGGGAAGAAGGTGGAGAAAGTAATGGGAAGACTTAGGAAGTTCTGATGAAAGATGCTAGACATTAACTGCTTTTGTCTTAGGTACAGTTCATTTGAGTGGTAATGTCAGAATAAGTATTGGTTTGAATTTATGATTGGTTCTGCAGCTTTTAAAACGGAATTTATTTTAGTTCTATACTTGAAAATAGCTAGTAAGCTTTTATTTCTAGATTAAAAGTTTACTTGTTGAAATAGAGATTTGTTTTCCCAAAAAGTACTGATAATTTACACATCTGTGAAGAAATGACTAAGATTTTGCATTCTATGTACTTATTCAACTGACACATCCTGAATTTCCACCCCAGCCGTACATGTACAGCTCTGTGGGCCCAGTCATGTGAAGAAATACAGAAGAATTTTCTGCTGTGTAGAAAGGGTGTTTTTGGTTTTTTTTTTTTTAAATAGTTACATATAACAAATTCTTGGCTGCTGAGACTCTTTTTGATCTCAGTAATCTGTAGTTTTTATTTAAAATACAGATGGTTAAAAATTCTTAGTTTAATAGATGATATAAATAAGTTCATGCAATTTTGGGAGAACTGTTGTAACATCTTCAATGACTATGGCTCATAAAAGGAGAAGCAGCAATAAAATTGAGCTGTCTTATCCCATTTCAAATAAAAGAATGATAAATAATGGAAAATGTTAATTTCATACTTTCCAGAAAGTATCACAAACAATGAAAATTATGGTACATTAAATTTTTAAAAATATACATGTGGGTTTCCAGTCCAAGTATTCCTTATTATTTCTGGTAAAGAGTTTAACATAAACAGTGCATTATTAAAGCGAATGTGGATGTCTAGAGGTTGCAGTATAACACATACTGCCTGGATTGCTTATTTTCTTGATTCATTGCAAAGGAAATGTAGGTTCTGCTGAGGAAAAAAGGGATCAAGGAATCTTGCAATGAAAATTAAGTTATTAAAATTTGTGTTAGAATATCATATAACTACAATTATATAGTTTTTTACAGATATGTCTCATATAGGTTGAATTTTATGACGTTCAACATCACTGTATTTTTAAATAGTGAAATTTCTGTTGGCTATAACTAGTGTCTCTCTCTCTCTCTCTTTCTATTTCTTTCCATATATATGTATACATATAAATATATATTTTTTACACATACACACTGTATATAATTTTGGACTTCAGGTGTGGAGTGAGTTAATCATCCTCAGTCCCTGGCACATTGTTATCCACACAAAGTGTACATGATAAACTGTGCCCTGAGGACCGTTCTGTGCTCTACAATTTGTACTCTCTATACCTACCTCCCCCATTGCCTTGTTTTTCTTCCCAGTGAACAACTTTAATCCATTTTCTATAGGACATCTTTGTTTTCCAATAATTAGAGGAAAATGTTTCTGTCAGTTTTTGGTAGAATGAGTTTTATCTTTATATATCTGCTTTTTCATGCCTTCCTAGTGTTTTATTTAATGCTCCAATTTCAAATAGTGGTACACTCTTAGGGTGTGATTCATTCCAAAGAACATGGCTGTGTATTAACTGTTTCCTACCCAAATTAACATTTCTTACAGGTATGGCCCGTTGACTGACTATACTGCTTCCACTTTAATGATTGCTTCATTTTGCATTTTCTCTTTTTCCACATTCATAGTCAAGTTTTTAGCACAGGGAGAAACATCACTGACACCTCAAGTGGGCACCCTGTGGCCAACATTTGTTACTTAAATTCCAAATACATTTGTAAACACCATCCATCCTACCATCATGGCTAAGAGGGGAAAGATGAAACACCAGTAGTTTCCATTAGAAGAAAACAATGACAGTAGTAGGAATTTAGCATCACTCCTTCTACGTTGTCTACATTTTTAAAAGATTGAGCCAAGATTGAAAAGAAAGTTAAAGAAGGGATTCTGGGACTAAAGCAGAAGTGAGTGTGAGGTCCCTTTTGTAGCAGGTTTTTGCATGGTATGAAGTTTGTGCAAGAAATGGGCATGGTAAATGGTGGATCACTTGTACAGCAGAAAGTATCAGATTTTTACCAACCTTGGGCATGGCGAGTTTCAAGCAAGTGTGGGATGCCTGAACAAATTTCAGTCATGTTATCTAATTGTTTCAGAAGTTGCCTGTAATGATGAAAACACTCTTCCAGTAGAGAAAATTATTAACTCTTAATTATGTGCAGGAGAAATTTTAAAAAATAAAACAGTTGCTGATTATAGCTTGAATGATGTTATAGATGCTAATGAAAGAGGCGTACTTTACCAATTGTTATCTTATGCTTCATGCCAAAGGTAGACTTTGCAAAGGAAGAAAACAGAATGATGATTGCTCTATTATGCTATAATGCATTCTGGACCAAGTCAGCTAATCCCCAGTACTTCAAAAATGTTCATTTGTTCCCCCGTGATTACCAAGCCAATACACATGCCCAAATGATGAGAAATATATTGACTGAGAAAGATTGACGAGAGAATGCAACGAGCAAAATGCAATGTCCTCTTGCTAACAGACGATTACTCTGTGTATAACATACTCCCATGACATGTATGTATTGAGTTTTTCCCACTGAACCACACAGCCATTCTGCAGCCTTTGGATCAGGGTATAATTCACACAGTGAAAGCTCAAAGCAGTTGCTGAAACAACTCTTTCCAAATTTACATGATGAAGAGAAAACTGAGAAAATAAATATGAAGTAAGCCATTGACATGATTGTGGAGACCTGGTCGTCTATAAAGGCATCTGTAAAAGTGAAATGTTGGCGGAAAACAGGTTTGATTCCTGTGGAATCCCCTGAGGGCCACCCGGAAGAAGACTGCAACCAAATGTGGTGTGGGAACCAGTCTGGCACTCAATTGCTACTGTTACTGTTAACTAGTTCCCAAGAGTTATCAAATCTTGGAATTGCTACAGAAGTGCTGACAGATGTAAAAATGTAGCCAGAAAGCCATGGTGGTGGTGGTGTTGGTGATGATGACAATGAATATGACAATGATAACCATAACATGCGGGGGAATCAAATGATGGAACAGCCAACAGTGAACATTTCTAAAGCCTTTGCCAGCATAGAAAGTGTCTGGAGAACTCCTTTCCCTTCAAACATGTTCCTGAAGGGGGTGTACCCAATTAAGTGGTATAGATGAATATTTAGTGACGACTGCAACACAAAGTGTTTTGAAAAGCTGAGTTCCTAGTTTTCTCCTTAACTACAAAGTTGCAAAAATATTGTTTTTATGAAGTCTATAAAATAGAAGACTTAATGAATAAAGAATGCTTGTACAAACAAAGCCCCAATGAGTGTTTAAATATGAGTGTTTGACTCTTATTTCATAAGGTTTACTACACAGTGGGTTGCGGTATTTCCTCCAATAATTTTATTGTCATTAATTTCAGTCTTTAGAAGGTTTCTTTCTCTACCTCCTCCCTTTATACCCTCACTCCCCACCCCAGCATTAGGTGGCAGAATGATAAGAATAAGCTTTTGCCTAATAATACCTAGAAGAGAAAAATATTCCCAAAATGTTGATGCTCCTGCTAGGAGAACCAGAAGACAAAAGACATGCTTGAGTTTAATAGGATGGATTTAGAGTAGCCAAGAGGAAAAAAGATACTCAGGGAGATAGCACAGCTTGCTCTGCCCAGAAAGTTGCTGATAGGCAAAGGGAGAGTGAGTGCAAATAGCTACTTATCCTCACTGTGTGGAGCAGTGAGTGCTTGGCAGGGCCAATGGAGGAAGGCAGAGCAGCATCAGGGAAAGTAGCCAGGAGTGGCGCTGCAGGAGAAGATATTGAGCAAAGGAATGCTAGTACTTCCCTCAGGCTGCTATCCTGGAAGGGCTGTTGGTGAGGAAGAGTGAAATAAAGAAGAGAGTGGATAACCCACTGGCCTCTCCTACCCTCAGTCTTGTCTTCTTACAACAGTACGATGTGACTCAGACCAAGCAACAATTCTCCAGACTTCTATAAAAGTAGGAAAACAACCCTTGCCTACTACACTGGTTTGTTTTAAGAGATGAAAAATAATTAATGATTTACCAAAATAAACTTAGAGCACCATTTACAAAGTAAGTATTATGCAAAGTAGTAAGATAGTGGGCAGTCACTTTTGGTACACATATCTGGGCTGGACTTCAAAAAAAGAATCAGAATGATTTTTTTTTGAAGTAATTTATCAACACAGTTATGAAGGAAAAAAATGTATTCTTTTGTTTTTAGGTAATAAGTCATCATTTGTCAAGATGTCGTCAGCACCTGAGCCTCCAACATTTAAAAAGGAACCACCCAAAGAGAAAGACTTTCAAAACCCAGGGCTCAGAGGGGTGCGCACAACGACCTTATTTCGAGCTGTGAATCCAGAGCTCTTCATTAAACCTGTAAGATACGTGTCCAGGAAAAGACTTTATGTTTAATCTAACCAGTCTGTCAGAAATAGAAAGTTCTGTTTTCCTGTAACATTTGATTTTATCGTGGAAATTTTGTGTTGATTAATAAGACCTCTGAATAAAAGCAGGTGGAAGGAAAATTTTAAATACTGTTTCACATATAAATACACATATAAAACTAAATATTTTGAGGTCATTTGAGAGTTATGATGAAAAATGGTTGCACTTTAATGTATCAACTTCTCAAAATATTTAAAGTACTATTTTATTATAATCATTACATTATTTGAAGGCAATTTTTCTTGTTTGATCAGGTACTATTAGGTAAATAAGACCTTCCATTTAAACAAGGAAACCAAAGTAAAAATCTGATTATTCTTACAGACTGCGGTTCTAGCCTTTTATTAATAATATTTCTATCTAAATGATATTGCAAACATTAAAAATTCCAAAACATACATTTGTACACTGTTATTAAGGTAGCTAATCACTATTTTCCTGTTGCAAATTAGTGAATATATTTGATTTGTTGAATTATATTTTTAAATAAATGTAAATGGAATCAAATTATAAAATATGGTAAGTATTTAAATGTATTGAATCTGATTAGAATTTTTAATAATGTATCTGCCAGTGTAAACCGTTTTAAAGTTAAATAGGTCAGCTTAACCATCAAATCATTAAATCAAGGTAGAATGTTTTAAAAACTTTAATGTATTCTTTTAATTGCTAAAAGCATTTCAAGAATTGCAAATTTAAACTGCTCTGAGCTTATGGCTTTTCTTAGATGTTCATCTAAGTGAAAAAGTTTGATCCTTATTCTTTTGTGATCAAGATTTGAAATAGTCGTAATATAGCAGGTGTGGTAACAGAAGCAGAAAATACTATCTGTATCACTGCTGTGCATTTACACTGACCTAAGAGAAGGCCAATTTGTTGAGTGTAAATGTACACTAAGAGGGGCGTCTTAGTTACAGTTTCAGGAATCACAAAGTATTAGACAAAACACTTCTCCAGAGTTGTGAACATCTTTCATATACACACACACACACACACACACACACACACACATACATACATACATACATACATACATATATATATATATGTATGTATGTTTTAAATTCAAGCTACATCACTTTACCTCTCAGGGTCTTGGTTTTCCAGCAGTAAATCAAGGTTATTGTAACAGCATAAAATCTGTTCCAATCACTCAATTTCTTGAGGTAATTAAAAGGGGAGGCTTTCCACCCTAACAGTAATAGAGTAGGTTCCCAGAGAAGAGAGTATACATTGTCATTATTGCTGTGTCTAATATTTAATATATAAAGGCTTTTTGCCAGCTATTTATGACTTCGGTAAGAATAGCATGTGTACTTCATTCCTTGATTCTCATTATTATATAATAAAGTGAACTAATTTGAGGTTTGCAAATTCTCTCCATTTGCAAATGGGCTCAGACAAGTCACACAGATAACACGGAAAACTCAGAACCAGACCAATTTCTATGTCTCACGCCTCTCCCAAACTGTCACCTTCCTAAGGATGGAGGTCTGAGATATCCAGGCTTTAGATAGGATAAAGACTGGAGAGGAGAAACAAGAGTCTTCTATAATCGCTAAGTAATCAGGAGTTGAGTGAATTGAATAAAGAACTGAGTAAATAATTATAATAGAAATATTGCAATAGGAATGCTAGCGTGGTAACAAAGACTTGGCATGTCAGGAGGAAAGTACAACACATAATTTGGGTCTCTTTAAATTATACTCTTAATGAGACTTTATAATTTTTTTTCTTTGACAGAACAAACCTGTAATGGCTTTTGGATTGGTAACCCTTTCGCTTTGCGTGGCATATATTGGTTATCTACATGCAACACAAGAGAATAAAAAGGACCTCTATGAAGCTATTGATAGTGAGGGACACAGTTATATGAGGAGGAAAACATCTAAATGGGATTAATAGTGATGGTTACTGCAAATGAAGCCTTATTAAGGACTCTGAAATCTTCAGATGAAAGACTTTACAAGCACACGGTATCATGTTTCTTGTTCTAGAATATGTTAATGAGAGAAGATAGCAATTGCACCCAGACAACTGTAGTAAATTTTTTGCTTTCATAGCTGCAGCCATCATCTCATTCTTTTTCTACAGAAAATGTCACAATATTTTTCTATTATTCAATCCTTTTATAAAAGTGCCATGAGAATAGAAGTTATTTTTGTTAATTATTAAGTTCTATGTAATAAAAATACCCAGTGCTATTAAATTTGCATGGTGTTTTTAATATTTTAAGGTGAATTGTGCCTTTGCAGCTATTAGTTTAGTTGTGTTTTGCTATTTGCAAAGGAAATGTTTGTTGTCTACCTGGCATAGAACCTATATTTGTAAAGAGAGAGAAATAGTCATTTTAAATCCTGAAGTCAATATTAAGGTGTGAGAAATGAAAACCAAGTTGGCTCTGACAAATAGTTTTTACAGAGCCACGGATGGTTCATACATTTTGGTTTCCATTTCAGCTGTTTTGGGTCCAGAATTTTATTTTAATTGAAAAGATACCCCCACTCAGCTACTAAAATGAAGATTCAATGAGAGGATATCCCAAAGTAACTGGAGTTTTTCTTCTATTAAAAAAGGTATTATGCTGAGGTATGGTGTTTTTATTTGACTATAACTAAATGTTATCTATTTTAGTTTATAAATTAATCTTACAGTGATGTTTTAAAACCAAGTGTTCTTAATAGTTATTTAAAAACTAGAGGTACTTAATAGATAAGAAATAAGATCTCCTTATTTTACTGGATTTACCTTATATAATTTAAATCTGACAAGGATTCTGGACCTGTTTCATTTCTAGACATTTGCCCTCTTCTCCAAATCATTATAATTGGGGCTCAGTAGTAAATCTCATCTCTGAAGTTTTATTTCATTTGTTATTACCAGGTAGTAACAACAGCACAGGCAGAGTTTGTCATCATAATGCTATTTTTTAATTTCTATCACTTTATTGTGGTTTTGCAAGGTACATGAAAATGCAATTATATCTGATTTGTAGATATAACAGAGCTTAGCTAATTGAGTTTATCTACATGGAACTAAATTAAATCTTTATTACTGAGACTTAAGTATTTCTTTGCTTTGCCTCTCCATATACTATACTTCAAATAGTTTAAAATGCAATTAGGTAGTACAAAATGCCTTTTAATTTAAATATTATCTTTTGCTTTTGGTTTCCTCATGTATTTCGGTTGTCTTAGAACTAGGGTTCTTCTGATTTCACCTTATGTGTTTAATATCACATTGCTGCCTTTTAGAAATTTTTACTATTCAACAAAATAAATTGAATAAAATTCAGTGGCAGGGGAAATATTAATTGGGTAAACTATCAAGAAACTATTGAAGTGCAGAAGGGCAGCAGAAACTGTACAGCATGAGCCCTAAGTCATGTGTCATCTATGAGAATGAACCAAGGCAGCAGTGGATTCAGTCAAGCACAGCACTGTGAAAAGTGGTATGAGGGAAGAATCACATTGAATTTTAGGAACAAGTTTATATTATAGCACAGTCTTTGTGAGTGCAGAGTGTCGAAGGCTGTCTAGTTACGTGTTGATGTTTTCATCCATTCTCTATTGAATGAGGGTATAACCATCAAAAATAAAATACCTTTTGAAATAGAGGATTTTGAATATTAGACTTCATCTGGTCCAATCATGTCAGCTTATAAGACAACAGGCTGAGAATGGTTAAGAAATTTACCCAACAACGCAGTGATTCTCAGAGTCAAGTCTGGAACTTGGATTTCCTTGCTCCGAAGTCTAAGGATATTTTCACCATTATATATTAAATACCACCTCTTAGGTGTTGTCATGAGTGGTGCAAGGTCAGGTATAACAGGTCCACGCACGTTCGTGTCTTTCCACAAGGTCAGACTTTTATTGATGATGTTTTAATCATAAAAGCCACGAGCTACATGGAGTTCCCAGGGAGGCAATTCTCCTTAGTACTACCCATTTGCTTGGTAGTCAGAGCCACAGACACACACGCTCAAGCCAATCTACCAGTCAGTCAATATTGCAAACATACATACATAGTGGTATACTTAATCAGTATATAAATGTTATAGATTAAAACTTCCACATTAAACATGGTAACTTTCAACATCAAGAGAAAAGGGGATTTAAAAAGGGTTAATGAACCAGTCCAAGGAAGTTGACATGGACAAGAAGAGTGCCCTGGGCTGATCCAGATCATCAGTGTCTTGCAAGGCAAAGTCCTTGATTTGTGCAGAGCCTTCAGTGGCAGATGCTGGGTGCTGATCACGAGTGACTGCAAGACAGTGTCTATAGAGATGGGCACATCTAACTGATGAAGTTCTGCTCTTTTCATGGCCCTTGAGTCCTCTCGTGAGGACTGAGAGTAAAGGGTTATGCCCTTGTCTGGCTATGGTTAAGACATATCAATAAAACAACCAGTCTTTATTGATTAGGTGAACATCTGGTCTCTGCTGGCATGATGCCTTTTGAAATATAAGACGGAGTCTTTTTCTAATATGGGGTCACTTAAGTCAAGGATGCTTGACACAGGTGTAAATGTCCACATAATAATTAAGTAGCCACATTAACCCTTAAAAATAAAATGTTTAGGTCTTAAGTACAGAAACACTCCTGTATTTTGAAACAAAATTATGTAAAGGATTGTTAACTTCCAACTCCCCCGAAAGACCATTAGAACAACCTGTTGATGAAACAAAACTAAGTTTATTAAACCTGCTACACTAAGGAAAAAATGCCACTTTTACAAAGTTAGTTGTATTTAAGAAAGGAATGATTAGGGAAGATATTTACAGTATTTGGAGTACAAGTTCAAGTGGTTAAAGAACATCTTTCAATGTAGAAATTTGGTGGAGATTGAGCCAAGTTCCCGATGTAATAGATTAGGTCTGACTGAAGAATGTCTTGATAAGTAAACTATTACTTGATAAATGGTAAGTGACCTTTATGCCCAGGGCAGTAATCTAATGTTCTGTTATAGAAGCTACTTGCCTTATCAGTTGAAGGCTGTTCAATTGGCAAATTGGTTTTCAAGAATTTCCTGAAACAGTGAAGTTACTGGTTTTGCAGCCTTATCTTCCATGGTAGGACAAAATCCTCTTTGCCAGGCACTGCAGGAGATCAGGACTTTTAGTTTTAAAACAGGGACAGTCCTAGGCAAATCAAGACCGGTTGGTTACCCTCCCTTCTGGGCAAGAATTTCTAGTAACAGATTGGAAAGTCATATTGACAAAAGTGCCTTCAGTTTTCAATCCAGATAGTGCATGCAGTAGTCTCAATTCTCAGTAGTAATTCATCTCTTTTCTCCCAGTCCCAATTAACCCTTGAAGTCAAATCTGGCACCAACTGATAGAATAACTTAAGGTCATCATGTAGTTATCAGGTCATATATGTCAATATAAATGTGATTCATAAAGGAATTATAGGATAACTTTTGTGGTACACTTAGCTCAGGGCCCCATGGGAGTTCTAGTGTTGAAATTAATTTCATTGATGGCACGATTCATTATAAAATCAGTCCTGCTAGGTAGATGCTGTATATGACATTGTTAAGCAATTTTAAAAAATTCAGTCACTTGATGTATTCAGTTGCGTAGATATTTGTGATAGGCAGAATTTTTATAGCTGTTCTAAAATTATAGGAACGGATTAGTTAACTATGTGATTTTAAAAAGAAGAGAATAAATTTGTGTTGTATTTAAACCATGAAGTTTGTGTTAATTTGTTACAGTGGTGCTATGGTTTGAGTATTTGTCTCCTCCAAAATTCATGTTGAAAGTTAATCGCCAGTGGCGGTATTGAGAGGTGGAGCCTTCAAGAGATGATTAGATCATGCCCTCATGAATGGATTGAACCATATGGAATTAATGGGTTAATGGATTAACGTGGTGGCTCTATAAGAAGAGGAAGAGCCACCTGACCTAGCACATTAGCATGCTCAGTCCCTGGTGGTGTGGTAACCCTGTGCCACGCTGGGACTCAGCAGAGAGCCCCCACCAGCAAGAAGGCACTCACCAGGTGTGGCCCCTCAACCTTGGACTTCAGTCTTCATAACTGTAAGAAATAAATACCTTTTCTTTAAAGATTACCCAGTTTCGGGTATTCTGTTATTAGCAACAGAAAACAGTAAGCAGCAATAGGAAACCAATACAGAAAGTATCAGGAAAATGAATGGTTGCATCATGCTTCCTTTTGTCATTATTTCAAGTTGCTTTTATGAGCAAAGCTTGTCTTACTTAGCAACAGTTGCTAAGTAAGTTAACAACTGCATGCTAGAGTCTGGGAGGAAGCAACTGCTAAAATCTTCCCCAATCCAATGCCCATACCTTATATGGCAGGGGTTTTTAATACCATTCTTTAATGTTAGGCCCATAACCACTACCTAATCATGGTGCATCATTTAATCCTTACCAGTCTTTAGCATTGTCCTAAAACCCTGAACCTCTTCCTGCTTTCTTAAACTTCCATCTTTTCTTAAAACTACTTTTTCTCATCCTAAGATTATTTTAACTGTAAATAATAGAAGATATCTGAAATTTAACTATGATAAGAAATTCAAATTACACAAACTTTGTTTGCTGTGCTGTTTGTAACAAAATAATTCCACCAGCCCCTTTGGGAAAAACCTTCAAACGGATCCATGAATACAAGCCATTTAAGACACGCTTTTACACTCACAAAGATATACTGGGTAAGTGACTTTATTGTTTTCCTCTGTTCTGACACTTCATAGCATTATTTGTGATTCTTCCTGTTACATATACTTTTATCAGCTTTTCTCTGTTTACAGTTGCTTGTCCCTACAAGGATACCTATTTGGCATGGAAAGAATATGGGTTGAAATCCAGCCTTTCCACTTACCAATTGTGTGCGTTGAACAGGGTATTTGGCCTCTCAGTCTGTTTCCTTATATGTAAACAAAAATATTGATACCTATCTTGCAGGTTGTTATGAGGCTTTAACAAAATAATTTTTACCTATTATCAAGCCTAGCACATAATAGTAAATGTGAGTTCTTTTTTGCTGTTGCCCATACTTGGGCATCTTCAATACATGTAGGAGAGGAAATATCTCTAAATAGTATCCTGATAAATTGGTGAAAGAAACTATAACCTTAGTAGCTGGTAACTTAAGAGTAGATACATACAGATAACATGAGAATATTTATCATATGGATATATGTATATATAATACATAAGAATGAAATTATAAC